AAAAAAAAAAAAAAGAAAAGAAAAAAAAAAAAAGATGGGCACTTCAGAGCTGGAAGGTGGCTCTGAATCCCATCCTCTACTGATGGCCCTGGGACCCAGCACATATTTTCTTCTCTGGGGACAGCCAAGTATGGAAATGAATGAAGGCTACCCAAATGGCAACAGAGGCTATTTATTCTGAACTTGCTATAGCAAGAGCCAGCCACCATCACGTGTATTTGACAAAGACTCCAAGGTGGGCAGGGGACTGGGGAAAGCTTTATAGTGAAAACAAGGAAGGCTTCAGATATGCTCTGATTGGAAGTTGTTGGCATGGACAAGCTGGAGATGGGTTAATTAGAAGCAGAGTTGGGCCGGCCCCGTGGCTTAGTGGTTAAGTGCGCGCGCTCTGCTGCTGGCAGCCTGGGTTCGGATCCCGGGCGTGCACCGACACACCACTTCTCCGGCCATGCTGAGGCCGCGTCCCACATACAGCAACTAGAAGGATGTGCAGCTATGACATACAACAATCTACTGGGGCTTTGGGAGGAAAAAAATAAATAAATAAATAAATAAAATTAGAAGCAGAGTATCTTATGTGATTGGTTAGGGGAGCATATTTGGCTTTCTCTGGTTGCTCCTGAGTTGAAAGTAGGGGCAAAAAATAAGGAAACTGTCAGTCGTTGATCAAGTCCTAATCATTCTGGGCATTTTTGCTTCAGAGGTTGTGAGTCAGAGTTCTATTGTCATGTTTGGTCTGGCCTTTGTCCATTTGTATATTCAGTCTCTCACAAGCCAAACTGAATAAGCATATGTCAGAATTAATTTATGTGGCATTCTACCAAGAAATAGGGAATCCCTTGTCTATTCTGTGATTTATAATTCTTATTATTCATTGAGTTAAAATAAGGATATGCACTAGCTTACCAAAGACAAATCAATTTATTCGGGTATATCATTACTCTGTATGAGGTATTAGCCTTGACTAATCAGAGTCTATGCTTCTGGCTTTTTCGTTTTGCATATTCAGCTTCTATAATTTCCATAATCTTTTTAATGAGCCATGAGGAAGGACATTACTTCACTTTATTCTTTTTCTAAGAAGTGTTTGAGCTACATATTTCGTAATATTCATTTTCTTCAGAAATGTCCTCAAATCAAAGTGTGAATAATATCAAATACATTTTGTCTTACAATTAAAAATTCAACTTCTTGCTCATTCAATGCTTCAGAGTCTGTGCACTGTGAGGAAGTTGGCTGCATAGTAGCTTTTCATCTTAGGTAGTTACGTTAGAAAGACTGTCCCCCAAGGACTCTCTTGTTCTGTAGACTGAGGGTTAATTAACTGAAGCAAAAACACCTTAATTTCTTTTGTCTTTTAACAGGACCTGCTAAATCAGTTTATGCCCATAGTTCATCATTTGTAGTTTTTTCATATCCTAGCTTATATGCACTTCCTCAGAGATGTCTTTTCTCATCAGCGTCCTCACTATTCCTTTAACAGTGCTTTCTCTCAAACACTCTTTTCTTTTAGGGAATTCTGTTTGTCTGCTGGGGCTGACGTACAAAGTACCAGACTGGGTAGTTTCGATAGCAGAAACTTTCTCACAGTTTTGGAGGCTACAGGTCTGAGATCAAGGTGTTGTCAGGGTTAGTTTCTTCTGAGGCCTCTCTCCTTGGCTTGTAGGCGGCCTACTTCTCTCTGTGTCTTCACATGATCTTCCTTCTTCATGGATGTGTCCTAATCTCTTCTTGTAAGGACACCAGTCGTATTGGATTAGGGCCCACATTAATGACCTCATTTTCACTAATAGTCACATTCTGAGGTACTTAGGGTTAGGACTTCAACATACCAATTTTGGGCGACACAATTCAGCCCGTAACAGGGATTTAATTACAATCCGTCATTGTATATTTGTTTTGAGTTTACGTGTTTAATCCTCTTTGCCCCTGTCACACAGGTTGTTGCTGGGAGCTGCTGGGAGTCGTAGAGCACATTAATAATTTTATATTCTTTTTATTAAAGACAGGTCCCAATATTAGAGGAGGTTTAGACCCCACAAAACTTGGTTAGCCCCTGGGCCTATCATAGTTATTCAGTAAATGTTTCT